TGGGGTATAATTACTCCCAGATCCTTAACTTCTCGCTCTCTCTTAAGCTGGATATCGTATTGTATGTCAAGTTCAGTTTCTGCTGTTAGAAGCTGACACTTGGCTCGGTTTAGCGGAAGATCCCACTTTTCGGACCACCGTATAACAGCCTGCAGGTCCTGATATACGTTCGTACCCGCCACTTTGAAGTCGTCCGCGAACATGAAGCACGGGTTGTTGATTTCCCGTGGTAGGTCGTTGACGAATATCAAGAATAGCAGTGGGCCTAGCACAGAACCCTGGGGGACACCGCTAGTCATGTTGGCCGGTATCGATAGTTGCAGGTCAGGTCAGGTGGCACAGAACGGTAAAGGCTTTCGCCAACCGAGCGTCCAGATTCTTGCTCCAGCTGAAACCACGTTCTTCCGCAGCTTTGACTTCTTGTCGACCGTTTGAGCACAGCCGATTTCTTCCTTCGGAACAGCATCGCTTATGGGGTCCGTATCTGAAAGCGGAGGTTATTCGAAAGTAGGCAGCGTGAAACAGCTACGCTCAATGGTAGCCACTCTACCAAATCTCGGGACAGAGGCTGATCCAGACTTCATCTAATTGCCTCTTCAACTCCTCAACAGTCTTGAAATCTTGAAGTATTTCACGGGTTCCAGGCTAAGCCCAATGTTCCCGGATCTTGGTTTGTCGTTTTTCGATTGATAGACAGTGCCCGCTGACGAGAATTTGAGAGCACCGCTCGTCACCGAGGGTAATTGGTATGGAGATACAGGTAATGGAAAAAATGAATCTGGAAGGGAAGAGGAGAGGGGAAGAGTGAAGTATCTGCTTGCAGTGCAGAATTATGCGCATCTGGATAAAGGACACTTTTTTACATGCAAGTAGGTAAAATTGACATGGTGCACACCTAGACATACGAAGGAAGTGTAGGACACTTGTTTTCAAACGAGTTTTTTTACGTTTTCGTTTTTGTTTTCTTTTTGTTTATGTTTTGTTTTTCCATGCACAAATACACAGCAACAACAACAAAAATTGTGACTCAATGCAGTTCGGATAGATGCATTTAAAACGAAAACGCAGGGGGGGGGGTGGAGAGATAGTTGGACAGATCGAGAGCGATCAACTATTGGTATTTGGTGGTAATGTGTTTAAGGCCAAGAAATATATCGAGCTTGGGTTTGAACATGCTCTATTAAGGCGCATCAACAACCTCCTGTGGAAGGCTGTTACATAATGGAATGACTCTATGGGTAAAGAACCAGTGACGAACTCGTGTGCGGGGCCGAGGCTTAAACAGCGTTTTGCTGTGTCCATGAAGACTATCTAAGTTACATGGTGTGAAAAACTGGTAAGCTGTGTCCGTGGAGAATAAATGGTAAAGAAGAAAAATGT